GTCTGAGATCTAGTCTGTCGGGTGAAGAAAGATGGAGTTAAAGAAAACAACTGTTGACCAAATGTTGATAATAAAACTCGCAGCCGCCGTGTTGTTGACTGAGAAGATCGCCTGTTTATTCAATCGATGTTGAATCGTTTTATTTATTTGAAGGTTTTCAGGAAAAAAGCCATATAAGTTCTTTATTATATGTAGACCATACATGTTTCACCTGAGCCTTTATTATGAATAATACAAGAGCGCTTATAAAAAGGCATTATATACCTGAGCATTGTTAACGCATTGTAAAACACAACAATGAAAAAATATTGCCACACTGAGCTAGAAGGTTTTTATCAAAATAGGAGCATCAATGATCATTTGAATTATTTAATACATGTAATCCATTCCTTTCAACGATAACAAATCAGCCTCCTTAATTTGACCCAATGATCCTACCAATTCATAGTTTGATCTACTTCAATAATCAGGTTAAAAAACATAACCTAATGAAACTTCTTTCAAATTTTGTTCGAAAATCATATCAAAATTAAACAATGTTGCCAGAAGATTGAACTCTAGTTGTACTTTTCGATTCATGCTAGACGACCTCTCTCCTCATTGCCGTCTCTATAATTCTAGGTCAATTGTGAATACTGTATGGTTTCTGTAGACTATAATGATAGTTCTCTCAGATGTCTGAAAAGTGAAATAATATTAGTCGGGATGATTGGAGTAACGTCACGCGTCGATAAATGTGTGCTATCCAAGAAAACATTTATCTTCCAGACGGATCGATAAACGAGGAAGAGTCTATTTCCATCACGAGGGTGGTAATTGCTCAATTTTATTCGGACATTGGAATCAGCTGGTGTTTATTCAAGGCAACGTCTTTGAAGCAGGATAATTCCTCAGTCACATGGCCTACAAATTTGTGAAACTTATATGAAATGTAATGATGAAAGCTCAATAGATCTTGTCCATAAGCTGGTCTTAACCTTTGAAATCGTGTACAGACGGGTCGACTGGAAATGGTCAAAGAACCAAAATAACACAACTTTGATTGGAAGAGCGAGAACTCAAAATATTACCGAAAACAAATAGCGATAGACTGAGTTAAGAATTACGGTGTCTCCTGTTATATATATATATATATTTGAAATTTATGTGCAATGACTTTCAGAGGTTGTCTTGCAAGTTATAAAACAATTTGAAAATGTTAAGCTTACTATTCTTAGAAATGCATGGGAAATGTTTTATCGGAAGTACATTCTCATGCTTATTCCAGGGAACAGATTCTATTAGTCTATAGGCTACCACGAATGTAATTTTAGTGACAATGGTATTTATCACAATTACACACCGTTGTTCATATCGTTGTTCTAATCATGTACTGGCTTAAAAACTTAAAATAGCTCTGATTTTCATTGGATAAAACTCGTTCAATGGGTCTAAATACATTAAATTATTTCCACCAAGTACAATATTTTTTTTAACCGTGGCGTTACAGGAAACAGCAGGTCATAAATCAAAAAGATTCAGGGGTTGTCTCACAATAGCAGACGACCTGGTTGCTATGCTATAATAAATTTGATACCATTGATGTATCTACACTGGGATATAAATGTATATACATGTATCTCAAATTATCATACAATAGTAATGAACTTCGGTATATAGAGGATTTTCAGAACAATAAATTTTTTTAACAAGGCTTATGGAAATGAAATAGACAGCATCGCTTTTCAGAATGAAAATATAATGATGGTTTGTTTACAAAATACATTTATTGTAAAAAAAATAAAAATGGGATATCTAACTAAGACTGTTTTTGGCACGAGGATAGTAGCGACTAAATATTATTGTCTGCTGCACTGACCACGAAGTTTGGTTTGATGTGATTGTGAACAGCTAGCTGTTGGATTATATTTCCGTAGAATATCGTAGCCAACCAAATGCTACAGTAAAATGTTTCATGCAGTAATTTGTTATTTATTTTCTAAGACAAATTGTTTTTTTCTTCTTTGCATTGCGACGTCCCTGCAGCTCTATTATTTCAATATATTACAGATAGTACTCTTTCTAGATATAGTCTTGATCATCCACTTAGAAAAATGTTTTATGCCCCGAATTGTATCCCAAGTAACTTCCCTAAAGTCAAATATAAGATTATTATACCTTTAAGCCTGAAAAAGTGTGTCAGAAATCACTTAATTAATTCTAATTTTCAAAGATTTCTCTAGGGAGATCCTTCACACTTCAAATACTCTGTACTGTCATTCAAATAAAATACAGATCCTCTGCACTGTTATTCAAATATAACACAGAACCACTACACTGCTACTCAAATATAATACAGATCCTCTGTACTTTAATTCAAATATCATACAGAACCTCTGTACTGTTATTTAAATATAATACAAAATATCTACACTGTCATTCAAATATAATACAGATCCTCTGCACTCTTATTCAAATATAACACAGAACCACTACACTGCTACTCAAATATAATACAGATCCTCTGTACTTTAATTCAAATATCATACAGATCCTCTGTACTGTTATTGAAATATAATACAGATCCTCTACACTGTTACTTTACTAGAATACAGATCTTCTACACTGTTATTCTAATATAATACAGATCCTCTATGCTGTTATTTAAATATAATACAGAACCTCTGTACTATTATTTAAATATAATACAGATCCTCTATAATGTTATTCAAATATAATACAGATCCTCTATACTGTTATTCAAATATAATACAGATCATCTATACTGTTATTCAAATATAATACATATACTCTGAACTGTTATACAAATATAATACAGAACATCTACACTGTTATTCAAATATAATACAGGTCATTTACAATGTTATTCAAATATAATACAGACCCTCTGCACTGTTATTCAAATATAATACAGATCCTCTACATTATTGATATTATTCAAATCTAATACAGAACCTCTACACTGTTACTTTAATATAATACAGATCCTATACACTTATATTTAAATATAATACAGATCCTCTACACTGTTATACAATTATAATACAGATCCTCTACACTGTTATTTAAATATACTACAGATCTTCTACACTGTTATTTAAATATAATACAGATCCTCTACACTGTTATTCAAATATAATACAGATTCTCTACACTGTTACTTTACTAGAATACAGATCTTCTACACTGTTATTTAAATATAATACAGATCCTCTACATTGTTATACAATTATAATGCAGATTCTCTACACTGTTATTTAGATATAATACAGATCCTCTACACTGTTATTTAAATATAATACAGATCCTCTACATTGTTATACAATTATAATACAAAACCTCTACACTGTTATTTAAATATAATACAGACCATCTACACTGTTATTTAAATATAATACAGACCCTCTACACTGTTATTTAAATATAATACAGATCCTCTACACTATTATTTAAATATAATACAGATTCTCTACACTGTTATATAATTATAATACAGATTCTCTACACTGTTATACAATTATAATACAGATTCTCTACACTGTGATTCAAAAATAATAACGATCCTTCACCTTGTTACTATGATTAATACTGATCCTTCGCACTGTTACTTTAATATAATACAGATCCTCTACACTGTTATTTAAATATAATACAGATCCTCTACACTGTTATACAATTATAATACAGAACCTCTACACTGTTATTAAAATTTAATATTAATATAGATCCTCACACTGTTATTCAAATATAATACAAATCCTCTACATTGTCAATTAGATATAATACAGATCCTCTACACTGCTAATTAGATATAATACAGATCCTCTACACTGTTATACAATTATAATACAGATCCTCTACACTGTTATACAATTATAATACAGAACCTCTTCACTGTTATTTAAATATAATACAGATCCTCTGCACTGTTATTCAAATATAATACAGATCCTCTACACTGTTATTTAAATCTAATACAGATTTTCTACACTATTATTCAAATAAAAACAGATCCTCTACACTGTTATTTTAATATAATACAGATCCTCTACACTATTATTTATACAGATTCTCTACACTATTATTTAGATATAATACAGATCCTCTACACTGTTATACAATTATAATACAGATCCTCTACACTGTTATACAAATATAATACAAATCCTCTACACTGTTATTTAAATATAATACAGATCCTCTACACTATTATTTAAATATAATACAGATCCTCTATACTGTTATTTAGATATAATACAGATCCTCTACACTGTTATTTAAATATAATACAGATCCTCTACACTATTATTCAAATATAATACAAATCCTCTATACTGTTATTTAGATATAATACAGATCCTCTACACTGTTATACAATTATAATACAGATCATCTACACTTTTATTTAAATATAATACAGATCCTCTATACTGTTATTTAAATATAATACAGATCCTCTACATTATTAGTATTATTCAAATCTAATACAGAACCTCTACACTGTTATTTAAATATAATACAAATCCTCTACACTGTCATTCAAAAATAACACAGATCCTCTACGCTGTTATACAATTATAATACAGATTCTCTACACTGTTATTTAAATATAATACAGATCCTCTACACTGTTGTACAATTATAATACAGATACTCTTCACTGTTATACAATTATAATGGAGATCCTGTACACTGTTATTTAAATATAATACAGATCCTTTGTAATGTTATTCAAATATAATACAGATCCTCTACTCTGTTATTCAAATATAATACAGATCCTCTACACTGTTACTTTTATATGATACCTATCATCTGAACTGTTAACTAAATATAATACAGACCCTTTGTAATGTTATTCAAATATAATACAGAACCTCTACACTGTTATTTATATATAATACAGATCCTCTACACTGTTATAAAATTATAATACAGAACCTCTACACTGTTATCAAATATAATACTGATCCTTCTCACTGTTACTTCAATTATAATACAGATCCTCTACACTGTTATTTAAATATAATACAGATCCTCTACACTGTTATTTAAATATAATACAGATCCTCTACACTGTTATACAATTAAAATACAGAATCTCTACACTGTTATTTAAATATAATACAGATCCTCTACACTGTTATTTAAATATAATACAGATCATCTACACTGTTATTTAAATATAATACAGAACCTCTACACTTTTATTTCAATTTAATAAAGTTTCCTAACCACAAAATCCAATGGCAAGACCAATCTATCATAGCCTCCAACCTCCCTAACAAGCAACAACGACGAATTCGAGAAGCTCTAGCTATTCAGAGACACTTTCCAGAGATCAACCGCGACAATGGACAGTACATTTCCAAGATATGGATATGTTTTATTCTCTTGCCATTACATCTGATGACGACACGTGTACATAGGACCACTAACAACAATAGCCCGTAACGTCCAAGTGGTGAAGCCGAGTAACCCTGGAAAATAATAAACTCTTCTCTGGAGAAATGTACTGTGTGTCTTGCTACTACTTGTAGCACAATATCTGAGTGCTTTAAAAAAAAAAAAAAAAAAAATATTGTGTTGAAACGTTATGTGCCCAACCTTATTAACGAAGTGTGTTATATTCCATAATATTGTCTTGTGTTTTTGTTACAGATACTTCACACTATTATTGAAAATCAACATATTTTATCTGGTTAAAAATCATCATTTAAACTCGTGTTAAACTCCTGTCTTATGTTTCAGAGAATTTTCCTGTTATTTAAATATTAAAAAAAGATATCCCATTATTTTCTATGTCTGTCCATGAAACATATCTCTGAATTTGCTTGGGAAGCCGCCGTGGCTCAGTGAGTTAGGCATATGTCGAGATAATACCTATACTATTGGTAAACATTTTGTGATTTCAGTCTTTTCAGAACTAACATTTTCATGATTTCACTTTTCGATTTATCTGGTCTCAGTAAAGTAAATCAAAATCATTGTTATTCAAAATATGTAAAATTATGCTTTCTTATATATATGTATCCAAAATTATGAAAATCACTCTTCGAAGTTTTATTTTCATGTCTCAGTAATTGAAAAAAGAATTATTTTCACTTTCACATGATACCATGCAAATACATAGTCAAAAAGATATCTGAGACAGGATTTGTTAGAAATGAATTCAATAGGAAGAACAAAATATTCATACATATGTTTTCTATCGATAAAAAAAAAATATGATATGATACAAATACTTCAGAAATTATTTCTAACATTAATACATTTCCTACAAATTACACAATACAATAGAAGATTATTAGGATAGAAATGATCATAAGTATATGAAAAAAACTACAAAAGAATTCGAGAAACATAGATAGATTAGCCTCCAAAGCATACTTTGTGATAATTTTACAAGATGAAAATACAATTGTATCTAGGTAACATTCCGAAAAACTTCGTCGAAGGTAGATTCGCCTTTCAAAAAAAATTATTCATATCTGTTTACTGAAAATGTGAAATAATTGTCACTTTTAAAAACTCAATAAGAAAATAAAATGCTGCTATTTCTTATAAATATTTTCAAAGTTTCTCCTTTAGAGTCTCTCAAGAATTCTAGTTCTATATAATTGTTTGAGGTTAAATTATTCTGTAAAATTGACAAAAATTTAATTGAAATTACCTACAGCCACCATTTACCTGAATAGATTAGTAATGGAGTATTTGACAAGTTTACTGCTGAAGTTCTTCTTTTTTTATTTGAAATGCGTCAAATCACAAATAGCATTCAAAGCCTTATCTAGCTGTTGTTCAGAAGTTTTTTTTTTAAATATATGCCTAATGGGGCAATTGTTTGCTTGTGTTAAGTTATTTGATCTGAACTAAGGCCTTCAGCTGAAGTAATGGACACTCGAAAATATATCATACAAAGAGCAGAATTACAAGTAACATTATTTCAATTGACAGAGAATAAATCTATGATATAAAAATATATAGGCACTTGTTTATCATCCATTTTGAATGAAATTCAAACTGAGTCCAAATTTCTTATATGTGTGCTTAAATAACAGACAATGTTGCAATGGTCTTAGGTTGCCATTCCCCTAAATGTTTTCTTCTTAGATCGTGGAAATTATTTGTATGTGTAAGAGCTATGACTTCTCAATTTATATTAATTCGGTCAATAAGTTGAACTTGTTGTCGACATTTTGAATATAAATTAATATAGGGCTCAAAAATAACCAAAATTTGCTAAACATTGCGTATATATCTAGGTTGATATTTACTACGATTTCAACCAGGAATAAATCAGAAAATATAAGTAATGATATCAAATGGCTACGTTGCTGTAAAAATCCATGGTGAATCTGGAGTGAAATATAAGTCACAACTGCAATATGACCGATAAATGGTCACACGGCTTCGTGGTAGAGAATGAACAGCTATCGCCACCTAGTGGATGAAATTTACAGACTGTAGGATGTGTTGCTTCGCGGAGCTATAATTTGATTTTAGTTCACGTTGCTGGTCAAATTTAGGTCATGGAAGTTTTACGCATTGATAGAGTAGGAATATAAGTTTAATAGACATCAAAATGGTTTTTAGGTCAGTTACTTCTCTATGCACCAATGCAATTGAAAAACAGAACAAAATCTGTAGATAGTTTTGCTTGAAATCGAATTTCTGCAACATACTATTTTTGTGAAACTTTCCCTACTTGGAAGGCTGCCAATGACCTGATTAGCTCTTGACCTACTTAGTTGGCATACCTGCGGCGTAAACATTCCAGGGTGGCAAAAGTCAAATAATCACGTGGTATGAAGAGAAATATCTCATTGGCTAAAAGAATGCTTCGACAAAAGGACAATTACCTTTGATAAACTATATATTTATTTTACAAATGAATTGTTATCCAGTTATCCGAATGAATAATGAAATATGAATAAATGAATATTCTTATTCCATTCAGCAATAATATTATTTTCGATCTTTTAAGTGTTCTTTCGCCTGGGAATATTATTTATTTATTTATTTTTTTTTTTTTTTTTTTTTTATTTACTTTATTTACTATTTTTTTCATTTTTGTATTTTATATATTTATTAATTTTTTCATTATCATCTTTTTTTTTATGATATGTAAGGAGTTTTACGACCGACTTTTCTGCACCACGTGGTCTAATTAAGACGGGCAACGCCATGCAGAGTGCAATGAGGGAAATTATGTCAGGACATCTGTCGAGGTTCCTGCACACCCCTCAACACGCGGAGCCTTGGTTTATTTTCCCATCCGAATGACTAGATGCTTTTTCCATGACAGTCCCTCTTAAATGCATCACTGGCAGGGGGAAACTTGGTTACAAAATTTATAATCTTGACCTATTTTAGTTACAGCAGATTATCTATAATATAATATGAAAGAGGTTGATATTTTGAACTGATATAAAATACCAATATACTGAAAGAAAAAGCTTCCAAGTCTTTAGCAATTTCAACCCCATTTTCAATTAAGTTGTATCATCGTTGAGTCTCGTGTAGCAAGAATATGGATTTTAATTCTTACACTATTATTTTATATTTATTTCAAATTCATTAAAAATATTCCACCAGAAATGCTACAAAAACCACATACATCGTAAGAAATATGAAAATAGGCAGAGGAAACGTTTTTTGCCAAAATGATGATGTTGAAAGTTAGCTTTTATACGTTAGATGAAGGAATCGAAATTATTTAGAATGAAAGCAAGATTTTTCTTCATTGGTAGCCTAACGAAATTATCATTGCTTAACATTATAAATTTTGATTCCCACGGTCATGGAAAATCAATGATGATGTAATTGATTTTCTACATCAGTGATAAAAGAAGACATTGTTTGTTTATACTCTTTATTTTGTAGAAAAGGTGGAATATTTCCAGAATATGCCATTATTTTAGCTAAGAAGTCGACTCATTTACATCTTCGCCATCTTTGACGTCCATGGCAATATGGTCTTTACGTTATTGGGCAAAGTTCCCACTTCTAATCAGATAAGATATTTATGCGATATAAACATTTCACATTTTTGCAATCGTCGTGGCAATTTTTTTCGCTTCACGCTTGTGGCTGCATTTTTTTATATTTTTGTTTATATAAATCCTAACCACCAAAATTGTGTTTCAATTAGTAACGTTATATTTAAAGGAGGATGATTTGTGTGTTGAATACATAAATAGTCTTCAGAAGTACTTGAGCTGTGCGATAATCCCTCCATTCTCAAGAGAACTCTTCATGGTCATTTTAACTTTCAAATGCAGATGATTCTAGACACACATGGCTCAAATTCCGATGGTAGGCGGTGAACACTATTTCTAATTAGCTTGATTTAAATATTTCAGTTTCTGTAAGAGTGGTCAAAAGGATGGCGAACTTGTCCCTGTAAGAATCGTAGACTTTAATACTACAAAACGAAACTATTCAGTTGTGTGGAATTTTTATTAACGTCAATATTATGGAATCAAAGATTTTTTAAAAATTAAAACGAAACTTGTTATGCTGTTTGACCTTCAGAGTTACAGAGTTATTTCAGAATACCTTAATCCTTTCTGATTACTATACAGAACTTGATATTTCGCATTGTATTCTCTACATATACTTGTGTGAGTATTATATACAAGTGCGTACTGTATAATAGCAACACTTCTGTTATCGAAATCCATTTCCACATGAGCGCAGATGCCAATGACGTCTGTAAACCGTTTTTCACTCCATGTACAGAAGATGCCGGGTCGTTATCAACGCACACAGGGGGACACAACAGGTAGTGACTTTCATCCCTCCATCTCAATCACGTGACCAAACCATCGATATGACACTAAAACAATCCTATGCGCTAAAGTAGGTTGTTTTTTGGACAATCAATTTTTGCAACAGTTCATTACTTTTTGTGCTTTGTTTCTTCGTCTATTCAGTATGTAAAGTCTTTGAATGGCATTATGCAATTGTGAGTACGATATATAGACACAGCTTTATGGAACAACAATCACTGGATAACGTTTTA